TCTCTTTCATTTTTTTGTACATTTCATGACTGATGACTGTGACAATTTGTGATAAAAATTTATGGAATATTGATCAGTTTCTTTCAGTATTTATTCTTATTCACTTTTATCAGGGATCTATAAGGTTTGGCAGATATGCAGTAGCGGTCAAAAGTGTTCGCCGAAGCGATTTTTCGCACATTATTCTTTCTCACCTAACTTGTTTCCTAGACTTGTGCCTTCTAGTAGTTTCGAACCCTTGAGTTCCAAGGTCAAGGCAGGTGAAGGAAAGTTCTTCAAGGAAGCTCACAAGACCATTCCAAGAGGAAAAATTTAATGCTTGAAGGAAGCCGTCTCGCGAACGCTTTTGACCGCAACTGTAGAATTAACACATTTGCGACGAGGAGTCCATCCGAAGAGAAACAAACTTACGAAGTCACAGTACTAGTGTGTAGGTCGGGCGGAGAGGAGGTTACACATGGGAAGAAGTGCGCGCCACGTGGTAGGCGACGCATTGAAAGAGTCTGGTTTGGAGAGTATGTAGAGTGAAAACGATGGAAAGGATAGGGTGCGGTAGAAAAGAGAACATCGCTGCAGGTGAAAAAAAACCACAAGGAATTCCTAGTGAAAGCACTATGAGAACCAAGTGGAATCGTTCCCGCGGTCAACAACTCAATCTGTCGTGCGAGGGCTATATATGTTTCACTTAAAGGAGGAATTCACGATTAGAATGAAGGTCGAAGAAAGGGAAACTGACCTAGTTGAGGGACCCACGGACCTCCTGAGGGTGCGAACTGACGCGCAATTCGCATGGAAAAATTTGACCTCGGCGACCTATCATGCCTCAAAGCTGGCGGGTCCGGCGATCTCCGCCCACCGATCATCTGATCACTCGCCGTAGTTCAATACGTGGCGAGTGATTAGATAGCTGAGAGAGCGTAGTGTTGAAGAGGGCACAGCGATGAGAGTCGCATCAATGCTCAAATCAACGGGCAAGGAAGTACAGTCCACTTTTTCATCGGGTTTGGGCGTTCTCATGTTCTTTCTTCTTTCTGTACATTTCACCATCCTAAGAGTTCATTATGCAGATGGGATGTTTCATCGGAATTGTCTTTTAAATCTTAACGTGGCACTTGTCAATCCGACTATTTGTGCTTTTCAAACGCCTTAGCTAAGAAAAATTTGTTGAGCTATAACTAGGTTATATATAAGGAAAGATTGTTGTACTGTTTCACATTTATCGTTGTTTCCCACGACTGCCTTATGCGTCGTTTCAAATAAATAAATAAATAAATAAAAATTAACATAAAGCATTTGTGAAAGGTTGGCCCGGCCGGAAATTCGTTGAACTCGCGCCAACAACCTTTGGACTGTTTTTCGAATTGTTTCAAAAACAAACGACATATCTTTTTTCCTTCTTATTGGTCAAGAACCGTGCTGCAAGCTGGCGTTCATGGCTGAGATAGATCATGAATTTTTTCACAGGTGCCTTGTTTAGACGTGAAGATTACTTAACTTGGTTGCAGTCAATAGCATCATGCGAACGAACTAAGGATTCACCTTTATTGATATGTTGGTAGGCAATACCATTCAAAAGCTTGGTTAGTGGCAAACTGTCTCGATGGAACTAATCAGGTAATACAAACTTACCCGCGGAAATGCTGGGAGAGGTGCGGGTTCTATTGCCCCGCAGGTGAAGGTTTTGCCCATAACTCAGCTTTCTTGACTACCTCAATTCTCGGTTGAGTAGTGGAATTGCAGAGTACCGGTTCGGATGAACCAAAGAGTATAGGACTAAGCACCGCCGCCGTGATGCTTCATACCAGAGCATAATTTTGTCAGATAAACCTTAAGGCAACGATTACGGAAAATTCAGGAAGGGCCTACGGTAGGTGCGCTCAATGATATGCAGTGTGCTAAAAAGCAGAAAAATCCGTTTATGGAAACGCTAAAACGAACTCCCTTTTTGTCCGTTGAGTTTTTTATTCATCGACAAATACTCAAAAAGTGGATTTTAGAACGATTTACCAACTTGTTGATGCGCCACCATTGCCAACATCTCTGAGATCTATGCCGGTGGTTCAGTTGTAGGCGATGCTTCGAGGCAAGAAGCTTTATTATGTCCAAGTGGTTATTGTAGACAGAGCGAAGGAGACGAACTGAATCTATGGAAACCCGCCCTCCTTATATACAGTGCATAATGGGCGGGGCAAGCTACATGATTACATTACTCATATCCGATCAGCCAGCAGATAACGATTTTCAACTTACAAAATGAGTCATGCATCAAAGAACAACCAATAAAATACAAATCGACCACTATCAAATAATTAAAGAAACATAGCCAATTGTTGGCAACGCAGCTCGTCCAAATCAACAACTAAACTAGTGGGCGGATCGCTTTTGGGGGCGGAGCGCTTTCGAAGTCCTGCTCAGCAACCAGCGCACCTTTCGTCGTGAAAGCGCCACACTCGCTTCCTTGGCAGCCAAGTAACTGCTTCGTGTGGTGCATATGCTTCCCGATGCGCTCCCTCTTTATCGTAATCGCTTCCTCTAACAACCGTGGGCTCGCGTCTCAACAGTTGAACGAAAAAATAACTAACCGTGGCAATATTACTCAACATCGTCTAACATTGAGTTCCTATCAATACACCCCACGTTTAACACTTTTCGTGCCGCTGTTCTAGTGAAGTGCGAGTGTAAATCCTATAAAAAGCGTTTTAGAGAGTGAACATGGTGCGGTGGACTGCGACCGACTTGAAAGGGGGACACCGCAATTGTGTCTGCCCCAGTTCTGGGCAGTCGACTAATCTTCACTTCCTCGCCGTTCGTGGACGATCTTTGATTATTAGGCTGATCTCGGTAGGACTTATTCGATATTATGGACAGTTTAAAGCGTCCTCATCTAATCTATTTATTTCCTCATCTATTTATATTTCTAGATTTTTTTGCCTAATCTCGTCATGGTTCTCTTGGAGACTTTCTACAGCGTTATCGAGTTCCTGCACATCACATACTCCTATGTAATCGAAAGCGATGATGATGTACAACTGACGCTCCATAAACGATACTATACCTCAGAGACGATAAAAAATCATTTCTACCAGTGTGTTGACGATTGATTGATGTTATACAAAACAGCAATATGGGTAGAAGGGAACATGTGGGAGAAAACGAAAGCAGATGATTATCAGTTTTGTTAACCTTTCTCTCCACTTTAATTAGATCTTTCATGCCTTTTCCTTAAACGGCCCTCATCGATTGGTCAAATATCTCAAGCAGATATGAATATCTCTTCTCCCTCATCCGTTTTTGTACAGTTGTATGAAAGCGTAGTTGAAAAGGTTCAGCTTTTAATTCTACTTGTCGATTCGGAGTGGCTCGTTTGGGATAGTTTCGGGTTCGTGAACTGGTCAAGTCACGCTGGCAGCGGAAACTGGTGGCAACGCTAGACCCCGACGATCCCCTCATCAAGCGAATTCCTCCCACCCATCCCGCTCATTTAACAAACACTCTTATGCGGCTCATTTGGCGGAAGTGCGCTCCTCTTATTACAAATCCGCATGGTGCGCTCTTGAAGTGAAATTGGGGTTTAGCTGAGGTTAAGAATGGTTATGTTGTGGATCGATTGAGGTCAGGCCACGGTACGATTAAAGCGGACAAAACGACGCCAGCCCCCAACGAGCCTCCATAACCACATATGAAGCGAGCAGAGTTACAAATCAATGCGTTTTGATTCAAAGAGAGAAGGTTTCGATTTTGGCCCGTTTCGTTGTTTTTTGGATCCTAGAGAAAAAGAAACGAGTGGGTGTCCCAAATTGAAAAGTCTATTTTGATACATCCTACTCGTTACTTTTTCGAAATGAAGTATAAGTACAGAGGGTTGAGTCGTTGCAAGCGGGATGAGCGAAAAAAATCAGGAGCGAAGCGCGCTTAGGATCGAGAATTTGGACCCCTTCCGTGTCTGTTGATTTCCGCATCGATGCGATATCATCGGTGTTGTCCTATCCAACGTTAACGCTCTTTGCCAAACGGCTAGAGACCTGCGGAAAGTTGGCCAGACGGTGGGCGTGTCGTGGCGTTAGCGCTGCGGCAATCGCCATGCTAGGTAGCCGAGAGCATTATCCTTCGTTGCAAATGCGCCATAGCGGTCGATCCGAACCCTTGGGACCTGTGTCAAAGTGGTTTCCCTCTCTTCAGCTTGACCGTTGGAGTTTCCTTAAAGGCTGAAGGTTTTCGGGGTGACTTTTCGAAGTTTTAACAAATTCCCAGAAAGTTTGCATGCTTTCTCAGTTTCAACTGTTTGCTGGGCAGGTAGCCGCCGCTTTGGACGGGGGTCGTGCTAGAAGAGTTTCAATGCTTGGCCACTGTAAAAATCGTATTATGTGTTATGAAGCCGGTAAAAACTAAGTTTAATATTATATTATGTTCAGATTCTTTGGTGTTCACTAGCTGCGAGAATATGTTCTTCCAACAAAATGTATACCTTTATTGCTATTGAAATCTGAAGTGAACAACGAAGCGTATTTTCTCATAAATACAAGGATAAGTAACTTGATTAAGTGATACCTGACGCAAAACCGTTAAACAACGAAGGAGAACACAGGGAGCTAAATCATCGGATTATCAGACAGTTCAGGAAAAAATTGCGCCACCACGTCTCTATTGAATATCGGCGTTAGGCGTACACCATCGGCTTCTCAATCTCTGCAATGGTCAGAATTGAGAAATTCATGAGTCTTCATTCATTCCTGGCGGCGAAGATTATCTTCGATGATTTGCTGCACGTTTAGTGGCAGTGTTCGCGAGAAACCCAGTGTTTGAGGCCTCATTGGCTGTTGGGGTATGGTGAACTGATGATTACAACTGCCACTATTGGAACTGTCAGTTGTGGGAGCGCTGGAGTACGCTATCAGATCTGAGGTGGAGTTGGAGAAGGAGAATGTGCTAGGAGCTTCTGGAGGATTGCTGGCACGTCGATTTCGACATAGTCACCAACAAATCAAACACTTCGGGATTAATTATATCGGTGAGAATCTTCTGGTAAGGCAGCGGTTGATGATGGCGTCTCGAGGAAAGGATCGTCGTAACGTCGGTAGCAGGGTGGATGCGATGGCCTAGAAAAATCCAACATAGCTAAGTTTTTCCGAGGAGGAATCAATTTCAATCGTAAAAATTCATTTTAATAAAAATCACCATAAAATAAGTAAACAATCAAAACAAGCAGACTATCAAGTGGAGTATTCATCTCAGGCGTTTCAAAGAAAAACCGTTTTCTGTTGGAGGAATTCTCCGAAAAAAGCTGAAGTATTGAGTGTATGATAAGAGCTTGTTAACCGCATGGTACGTTGGGCTATTTCTAAGATTACTCCTTTTATGCTTTGAATTCTCAAAGAATCCGTTTCACAAATCATGTTCACTTCAAAGCCGTTTCTGCCTTCCTTAGAAAGTTGAGCAATCACGGTTCTGGTAGCGCCTTGGTGAAGAATCCTCGAAAGCACTCTCAAGACCGCAACTTTCTCGGGATCGAAAGTTCATTTCACGAAAAAGATTCACAAGATTTAGTTCGAAAGTTCCAAACTGTTAAGTTTGATGTCCTTACAGATTTCAACGCTTCGAATTTGGCTTTGAAAAAATTTGAAGAAATGAAAAAAAGGGTCAGAAGACTCAAAAAATTTCTGTGATATTTCGGTGCTCAAGCTCATGTTATATTTTGACCTGGCATTCTTTTGAATATAAGTCTTTTTTGATCATTTCTACGGTATCAAAAAGGTATCCGTGACATACTTTGGCTTCATAGACTTGGGAGACGAGATTCGCCATGATGTTGGCCGCTGAAGCAGACGATTTTGTCCTGGAAATTTTAACGACACGGAACAAGCAACTCTTGCAACGAGTCATGCGTAGAGCGGATAGATGGGCACAGAAGCCGTTTGAGAGCATCCCACGATCTGAAATACGAGCTGTTTGTGAATGGGAATGTCAATAGAAGTTTATGCTCCCTTGAGCTGGGTTGGAATCTGGGATCAAACTGGATTGGGTGTAGAGACGATAGGATCTCGGTTTTGAAACTCACTTTGGTTTTCCAGAGCTGTCATAGAATTTGGCCAGAAAGAAAGTCTTCGGTAAACGACATGCGTAGTAGTAGGACGGACTTCCACCACACACCCTTGTTGTAATAGCAAGCTGGCTTTTTACTCAATTGAAAGAGAGGGGTGGGGGGTCATATGGCGCGATCACATTGGCATTAGAGCGCACAGGCCGTAATTGTCCCATCCTGCTGTGGTCGGGCAACTCGTCCGCATCTCCAACTACTGTACTTCCTCAATTGATAGATCAGGTGATTTGGGTCTCATTAACCTTGTTGGGCCTCAAAGATATATAAGAAAGATCCGAGAGCTTGTACTGGCCCAATTCCAAGGCAAGAGGAGCGGAATGAATGTGGTGAGTGGACGAGTTGTCCGGCACTGTAGGATGTGGCAATTACGGCTTGTGCGCTCCAATGTCAATTGGATCGCGCCATATGGCGCACACCCAGTTGAGTGCAGGAAGCTGCCTGTGCACTGTTGTGGAGCTCAAGTGCGAGGTGCAGAAAGAAGAACTAAGCCTTCTAGACGACCACTTGCGTACAAGGCTGACGCAATTACTGTAACCGTGCATACTCAAAAAACCCCTTCGATTTTCCTATTCTTCAGTATTATTTTTTCATGTAATGGAGCAGTTTTGAACACCTGGACGAGCAGCACTTCCTAAGGTGGTAAGGTCTCTCGTTTTTTCGCGCATCATTTGAAAGCTTTTCGAAAGGAGCAATACGCTAGCACTGTTTAACATACAACACCGTTTGAATGATTCCAGTACAAGTACCTTTCCTGAACGAAGCGGATTTGAGCAATAACGACTGTAAGTGCTTGTGTCTGCACAGGGTTCGCAGGACGGGTGTTGGCAAAATAACGACAACAATCAGCGCTGCCAAGTCCACATCCCTTAAAAGCAACAGTCCAAGAGAACGAATTCGCGGGCAAAAACCACCGATAATGAAGTTGTGGGTGCAAAGTTGACCAATAATGAAAGAAAAGTTTCAAAAAAGACGTCGAACAGGGAATTAGACAGGGGCTCCCCCTCGCCACTTAGCAATGGAGGAAGACGCTCGTTGGACGAGTTGTATGAACATGCCCGCAGTAAATGCGCCCCAATTGCAATAGCTGGCTACTTGCTAGCAATTGCCAGCTATTGCAATTGGGGCGCAATAATGGGATCGTTTCATGTTTTGCAGGTAGAGGTGAAAGGAAAAAAAAGTAGAAATTCCAGTGTTGTGTATATATCGATTGCTTTGAAAGGATCACCTCAAATGGTCCCGGCGGTCCCGCAACGACCGCCAATAAACTACGCGCTCTTCACAGCAGCAAGGGGGCGGCTCCACCGAGGCTCGGTGGACCCGCCCTTTTCGAAGAAATTCGAGCCCTTCCTACGCATTTCAAAGGTAAGTTTTCAATTCAGTGACAGTTCCTATGAACTCTACTTGGGCTGGGGCATGCTTCCACACCTCAGGTTTGAGTTGGTTGAAACCCTCCTTGGACTGTTGCTTTAATATATCAATATTTTTACCCAGAAATTCTTTATGTCAATTCTGTTTATTTACTTTGATAAGTCAGTGTTCCATTTCTGATTTTATCACACAAAATGTCTCAATTCCGGTATAAGCAATAAATGTGAAGTAATATTATAGTATTGTGATGGAATATCAAAAAAGCTTGTGCTCCTTGGCTGGGTTGAAATGGCGATTTCATGTTAATGATGTAGGTTTCTCTAAGAGAGGACAGTGGGTGGTAACGAAAGAAAAATAATCCATTGAACCGTCAACAAACAACTGATCCTTTGCTCATATAAGCACCTTCGTCACGATTCAGAGTCGCCATGAAACGTTCCGCTACTACCA